AAAAAAGTTTCTTGTTTATATCAGACGGTGTGTTATTTAAAATGATCTATGATATCTTCCATCTTGAAACCTTGGCTGACTATGATTTAATTATGTTTTTTCTATGTCCTAACAGGTTTGTATTGAAACAATCTGCACCTTAGACGGCGTTAAGTCGAAACGTCAGATACAATAAAAGTATTCCAATACAAACCGGTTACGTCATAGAAAAACATGTGGAATAATGGTTCTGCTTACGGATCATACTTCTTTATTCAGATCACCATTTGGACAAATCGCAAGGCATCTTACCAAAACTGTTCGAGTTTTTAAGAACAAGAAACGCATAGAAAGTAAGTATTGAAATCATAACTTACGAACTTTTACTGTATATGCAGCTGTTGCCTGCAATCCGTACTTATTCATAAAATTTGTGTACTAACGATTTTGAATGCGTGTGTGTTCAGATGGCAGTCAGTAGTTTCGGAAATAAAAAAAGAAGCAGAAGACATGGATCAGAAACGAAGAGCTGAAGAATTAATTAAGCAACGGCTAAAATTTTTCTCCAAGTCTGCAATAGACTATGGTAAAGGTTCAAGAAAATCTAGAAAGTTGGGAAAACTGAGGGTAAATTCTCCTTTGGACTACTACGAAATTTTGTAGTTATAAATATTAGCATTTCAGAGGCTAGATGAACTCGAGAAAGCGCTTAAGCCTAATCGCTATAGCCAAATGGACTATCTGAAAAAGGAGTTCAAGAAGAAGCAGAAACACCTCTCACCAGTGGAGAAGGCAATTTATGAGCCGATCAAAATGGTGAGAGAAGGTAAGTAACCTTCTGCGATTGTGCAGCATTGGGCTATATCATCAGGCTCCTGGCAATACAATCAAACATAGAACTGCATTTATTCTTTAGGTAAATCAGCAAAGTTTAATTACTACGCTCGCTTACTTACATTTACCACGTCGCTCTTTGTTTTCTTTTAAATTTTGTTTCTTTTTTTCTCAAATTCTAAAGCGCTCAATCTTCAACTATATTTAAATTAAGCCATGGTAATATCAACAAGAATTTGGTAGAGCTAAGCATTGTCACTCAGGAATTTGACATTTCCACATAATCCATTTGCAGGTGTAAAGCTTGGTATGATGATGACAGGTCAAAATGTTTCGGATTTTGGCGAAAAACCAATACGAATGATTAGTCCTCGAATGATGAGCCTCATTCCAGATGAAGAGAATTCTACAAGAAATGAAGTCAGTGCTTTTAGTCTCTTCGATATTCGATTTGTGTATCTCACGTTGAAAGTCTCCTAAAATATCATTCGAGTCCTTCTAAAAAAGTATTTTTTCTGTTAATTCCATCGATTGGATAACTGAGCATTGAAGATCCTAGCAACATTGCTTTTCCCGCCTTTCAAATAGATTTTAGATAAACCTTTTATCGCCTTCGCTCTTCTCTCTTCATGGCAAAGGCAATGGCGTTGAGAAGATGACGTCACTCACGGCGCTACTTAATAGTACAGGTCTATTGAAGGAGCAGGATCAACAGGAATGGATGGATTTTATAATAGAAACTTCTGGTGCCGCAGATGCGATAGATAAAGCTAAGGTACGGTTAGAACAGTGTGAAACTAGCAGCTGCGATGTGTCTGTAGCGCGCCATGGGCAAATATTGAAGATATAATGGTGAAGATTGAAAGAAAAAAGTAAAATCTATGCCTATTAAATGTACACGTAAATATGCTGTTGATATTTCTAATCATAATTAGAAAACAAAT